ACCATAGCCTGGGTAATACCCAGGAACGACAGACCATAGATTTTCAGCATGTACTCCTTGTAAGTGTGCTCCTCAGTGTCACAGTGATTCACCCATTCCTCGCCATCACTCTCTTGACCAATCCACGTGGTGGCTAACTGTGAACCATCTTTCTTAACCTTGACCCACGGAGCACATAACCAACATTGTCGTAAGCACACACCTCTACACCCACCAAGGAAGGCCTCAATACCTTCAGACATAGTGAGTTTCCAGCACATGCATATGGCCATAATGCACCCAACCACTGCAGGTTCCACCAAGAGGGAGCTGACCTCATGGTTAACACCGTCTTGGCCCACCGAGATTGAGCTGGTCGTGCCATCAAGACCCTTGCGACGAAGCTGTTGTACACAGGCCGGGAGATAGGTCTCGCCTTCCACCTTGAACTTGTCGTTGATGACTTGGGCGTTGCATTGATTATCATTGACCTCATTCATAAAGTCACAACCAAACAGAGTCTTAATCTTCTCCTTGCCACCCACCGTGTCCTCAAAGTAGTAGCTGTAGTGCTCATGCAGAGTAACCCACCCACCATTAATGGCTTCAATAATAGTGGCCTCGAATAGCTTAATAATACTCTCCTTAGACCTTCTAGGGTTGAGGCTAGTAGGATTACCCTTCTTGGGCCAAGAATCTTGGCCTGCCAATTACTCTCTTTGTCGGTCATCTTAGACAACATAGGAGGAAGGGGGAACAAACCAACGGACTCTACAGCATTCAAGTCGCAAATAGTTGGGGTAGCATAAAAGGTCTCAGCTTCACCTTCATTTGGGCAATGAACGTGTGCTTTACCTATCTGCACGCATGCACAAAACCGTGACGGCGAGCGCTGTCTTTTTTGTGCTAAGACTCTCTCATCTGCGCTTGTTGTACCAAGCCACTTCTTCAGCGTCAATGTCGATCTTCTAGTCAATAGCCCTGTGTTGTGTTTAACATTGAGTGCTACCCACTCCTTGTCTCGAGATTGTGGACAAAAGGACCGCATACGCAGTAAAGGCTTGAACCGACTGCTGTCACCCTCCGCGCCATTGGGATTACATAAAGGGAAACCACATACAGAGCCCTTTATTTCATCCCAATATAGTAGAAGGACTTCATACTCATCCATAGATCGTTGGCTGATCTTGACCATATGTAACATATGATCATTACCTCTGCCATCGATTACCAAGCCAGCTTCATTATCACCAAACCACATCAAAGTGTTGACCGAGATAAGAGATTTACCCTTAACATTCAGCCACCCACCTTCATTAGGTGATACCACTTTAAGAACATGAGCTACACTATCTGTCATCTTCTTGCCTTTGGCGTTAACAACTACAGATACTCCT